AAAGAAAAAATTACTAAGAAAGTTGAGGGTGTGATTATTCATTGTGGTATGGGAAAGGTTTAACATTGAGGTGGGGCATAGGAGAGCTTCTGGAAAAGCTGGGGAAAAAATACATTTCTTAACCTAATGGTAATTACACGTCTATCTGCCTTACAACAATTCTTTGCTGTAAGTCTTGAAATCAGGAGGTGTCAGTCCTTCATACTTGTTCTTTTTCATAATGGTTTTGGCTATTTTGTGTCCCTTGCATTTTCATATAAATTTTAGGATTAGCTTTTGTCCATTTCTGCAAGAAGCCAGTTGGGATTTTGATAGGGATTGCATTGAATCTGCAATAGTATTTTTCTAATCCATGGACGTGGGACATCTTCCTATTTAGTTCGGGTTTCTTTCATTGCTTTAAACAATGTCTTATAGTTTCCAATATACAAGTCTTGCACTTTCTTTGTTAAATTTATTCCTATTTTATTCCTCTTTTTGATGCTATAATGGAGGAATTATCTTCTTAATTTCATTTTCAGACTTTCTCATTGTTAGTGTATAGAATACAATTAATTGGGTGCCTGGGTGGCTCAGTGGGGTAAGCCTCTGCCTTCAGCTCAGGATGATCTCAGGGTCCTGCGATCAAGACCCACATCAGACTCTCTGCTCAGCAGGGAGCCTGCTTCCCCCTCTCTCTCTCTCTGCCTCTCTGCCTACTTGTGATCTCTCTCTCTATCAAATAAATAAATAAAATATTTGGAAACAAAAGAATACAATTAATTTTTGTATATGGATCTTGTGTCCTACAATCTTGATATACTCATTTACCAAGCTCTTGCTATGATTCAAATGGTTGCATCCACCCCAGAATTCATGTTGAAATCCTAACCCCCGAGGTGATGATATTTGGAGGTGGGACCTTTGGGATGTCCTTAAGTCATGAGGATGGAACCCTCATGAATGGGATTAGTGCCTTACAAAAGAGGTTCCAGAAGGATCTCTAGCCACTTTCACCAGGTAAGGATACAACAAGAAGTCTGGGACCCAGAAGCATGCTTTCACTTGACCATGCTGGCAACCTGATCTCAGACTTCCAGTCTCTAAACTGTGAGGAATAATTTTGTTTGTTTATTGTTGTTGTTGTTTTCATAAACTAACAGTCTATGTTATTTTGCTATAGTAGCCTGAATGGACTAAGATAGCGCTAATATTTCTTTTGTGGATTCCTTAGGATTTCTATGTATAAGGTCATACCATTTGAAAATAGATGTGATTTTAAGTAATATAATGTAGTAACTCTTGAGATCAATCTCTCTACCACTCCCCAGGATTTGTGGTTGTTGCTGTTTATTGTTTTTTTTTTTTTTTAAGATGTTATTTATTTATTTGACAGACAGAGATCACAAGTAGGCAGAGAGGCAGGCAGAGAGGGAGAGGGGGAAGCAGGCTCCCCACCGAGCAGAGAGCCCAATGCAGGACTCGATCCCAGGACCCTGGGATCATGACCTGAGCCGAAGGCAGAGGCTTTAACCCACTGAGCCACCCAGGCGCCCCTGTTTATTGTTTCTTTGACTCTTTGTTTAACAATGACTTTTATGAACTAATTCAGTAAAGCCTGTATTTTTTTGTTTTGTGTTGTCACTGAATCTCTGCTTGGTTAGTTTAGTGGTCAGCTAATAGTTGAACAGGGATTTCCTTAAACACTTGGAACCAGTAAATCTATCAGTCTTTGCCAAAGGGTTCTGTATGTTGGGGTGGACCTTCAATACTCAGACAGGCAGTTGACAACTGGGTCTTAGCCTTCAACTTCCTGCTTACCAGGAGCCTGATGATCAGCCTGAGGTAAGACCTTACAGTCAGCCTTCTCAGATTCTTCCTGAACATGTAGAAAGCCCTAGGCATGTACACAGCCCTGTGTATGATTTTGGCCTTCTAGATTCTCAATATTTGCTGGAGCCTTCCAAAGCCCCAAGGAAATCTCATTCCTCTGTGTTCAGCCTTTTGCTTGCCCTAACTGCTATCCTCTACCTCATGTGGTCACAAAAATAATCAATTGCCTCTGTTTTCAACAAGGGTCTCCACACTGGGCGCTTCCAATCAGGTCAAATAAAGATAGCCTTGCAAGTGGGTCTCCAGGGTCTGACAGACAAGTCAAATAAAGACAGTTCTCTGGGTATTTGGCTTTGAAAGAACTCCAATCCCATTCTACCCGCTCCAGGGGCTGCTAGATGGCTGGTTTTCACTGTAGTTACAGGGTGTTGGTTTTTAAGTCTTCTATGGAACTGAAGAGGGAGAAGGAGAACAGGGCAAGTTACAATATCACCGTGTTTGCCGTTCTTACCGAGATTCAGCCTTTTTCTAGAATAAATGCTCCCCAGATTGCTGCAAGCTCTCAGGCAATTTTCAAAGTTCTAAAACTTGATTCTGGTTATTTTTGCCAATCTCTCATTGGTTTTATGCAGAATTTTCAGAGCTCCGCACTCCAATATTTTTGCTAATATTCTACCATGTACTTTTTTTTTTTAAATCTGCAATGGCTTTCTGTATCCAGTCCCACTACCCTGTTCAGATGTTGCCTCCTAGATGTGGGTGTGGCTTTTCTGAGAACACCATCTCCTTGGTACTTGCTGTCATCTTTCCCCTCCAAGTCCAAGGAGGTTGTAACAAAAAGAGAGATATCAAAGAGGCTTTAAATGCTTTGGGGCGCCTGGGTGGCTCAGTGGGTTAAAGCCTCTGCCTTCAGCTCAGGTCATGATCTCAGGGTCCTGGGATCAAGTTCCGCATCGGGCTCTCTTCTCAGCAGGGAGCCTGCTTCCCTCTTTCTCTCTGCCTGCCTCTCTGCCTGCTTGTGATCTGTCTCTCTGTTAAATAAATAAAATCTTAAAAAAATAAAAATAAAAATAAATGCTTTATAGCTAGGGCTCCTGATGATGCAAACTACAACCTTAAGGTAATCGTAGTCATTAAATGTGAATAATCAGGAGCTGGACCTACTTTTAGAGTGCTATGTTCTGTCCTTGTAAGAATAACTGATGTAAGTTGAGAATATCACAATTTAATGCTTAAGGGCACAGACAGGTATTGCAGTGAAACTGTATGAGATCACTACCTCCTAGCCGTGATAATAATGGTATACATACAATCTACGAAGACTGTGGGGAACAATTCAAATAAAATCTTTAGCAGAGTCTGGCCCAAGCACTCCATACCTAGTTGCTGGGATTTTTATCACCATTGTCAGAGCACCAATGCCTACTAGAAATCTCATAGCACATGTCCAAGTAGGAAGGGACCTCAGAAATCTGCCAGTTCCACTGCAAACCCAGGACATTAACTCGCTTTACCTCACATCCCTATTAAATGAGCTCCAGCATGTGTTTTCATACTTCTAAGCACCGGGAATTCACCATCTCAAAGGCACCTCATTGTGTTGACAAATCACTCTCATTATCTTCCTTCTAGTGAGCCCCAAGTCCTTCTTTCATTTTTCTCTTGAACACTTTTCAAAATTGAGCTCTTACCATTTCTTGAGAAGTTGCATGACAACTCTTTCATTACTGAAGGGTTCGGAAAACACTCCCCAGTCTTCTTTCTAGCTTTGGGGAAGAGGCTGATGCTTTCCATTGCATATCAACTCCTACCCCCTCCCCCCCCCCCCCCCCCCCCCCCCCCCCCCCCCCCCCCCGCCGCCTTCCCCCAACCACCAACTGCCATGCCCTAAGTATCCTCCTAAAACCTTAAAGGCCTAGTTGGAAGAAATAAGTTCCTTTTGAGATACAAGATATCTATTTATCTCTTTCCTACCTCCCTTCCCATGATAAATTAATCCCTGTTCTGTGAACACAACCAGTTCAACACACACATGTGTACACACACACACACACACACACACACACACAAAGAAGAGTTTCAATTTATTGGTTGCTCTTTGGGAAAGGTGATATAGAACATAATTGGGATTAAAATCAAATTCTAGTTACAGATTCATAAAACTTTGCTTTAAACCAAATTAACTTTTATGAGACTATTAAATCGCCTCTCATCCTCATACATTAACAAAGTAACTCAGTCATAATCTATATAATCCTCTGTTGGTTTTCCATGATTAAAGCACACATAATACATAATGCAGCTGATATTAAATATCTTGAGAATGACAAGTCAATAGAACTCCTTCCACTCTTAAGCATTAGCTGGTCATTTAGACATGTTCTGTACATACACTTTTCATTTAAGATTTTCTCCTTCAAAGGACTTGTGAACTATTCATTATTATGTGCTATTTGTATACACACATCAGATGTCATCCAAAATTACATTTAAAATCTCTCTTCTTATTGCTTCAGAAATGTTAACCTTTAAGGAACATTTGATTTAAAAAAAAGCAAAAGTTCAGATCCTGACTCTTGCAACACATGTTCATATGTGTCAAGATTTTATTGTTTCCCTCTGACCTGATTAAAGCCTCCAACAACATATAATGTGCCACTTTCTTCTTTGCTCAACTCAGAGGAAGTCAAATAAAAAGAGAAAAAACAAATGCTCAAAATCACAGTGACCAAGGATTTGAATTAATAATTACATTAAATAACCATAACTTTTTGTTTAACTATTCACATTCCACACAGTGGAAATTATTGTTTCCTCCAGATTTTTCACTTACATTTTTAACTTTGAAGAACTACAATAACAAAAAAACAACTTACAGACTCACAGGATGTGTGTTTTTCTCTTTTAATGCCAAGCACAAAGTGTACATCATAAAATTCATATTTGGTGTTTGGCATTATTTTAATAGGAAAGATAGATATCACAAGTATCTTGCCATAAAAAATTCTACTATAGTAATGAAAAAAACATACTTTTCATCAGTGACTCCAATACAATATGTAATAGATATGGCACTGTCAATAAATGTTGGAAGACACACCATACTTTGCTAGTCTTAATATAGGCACAGTAAGAAAAGCAGACATTTCCCTCTTGGCTAGTGCTGTGTTGGGGGGTTGTGTTTTTTGTTTTTTTTTTTTTTTCAGGGTAGTTATGCTGCCGATTATCCCAGTGAAGTTAATTTTGAGGAAATTCTCTTTACTTAAGCCAAATCTGACTTACATGCAAGACTGTGGTACAAGCTACTAAAAGAAGATTACTGCTGCCAACTTAAATCATCTCTTTTTAACAAAATTGCATGCTTGTGGCAGAGTTAAGACAACAAGAGAAATTCAGTGTCTGCTGGTTCTGAATGTCATTTTCCTTTCTAGTGTGGTTTTACATGTTCAGCTCCTTCCCCCTTCTTTTCCTCTCCCCCACCCTCAAAATTCTGGCTTAGTATTTGTGTGCTTAATTAAATCCATTCTGTGCTTTTTTGTTGGAGGATGTGGATGATGGAGAGATTAAGGGCGGGGCCATACAGTGTACACGAAATACACGGACTGTGTGTTCGGGCAAATTTGCCTCGTGTGGAATCATCAGTAGTGAGTTCGAAAGTTTCAAAACTCGACCCAATATTTTGGGTGTTCAAGATAACTTCTGCCTCAAAGTATGGTTCTGGCTTAGCTGATAGATGGAAGAGCGCCACACCAAAAAAATAAAATAAAATAAAATAAAATAAAAGCAGGCTCTTTAGTGCAATGCTGGCACCTTAGATGGGCAACTAAAATGCTAAGTCAATGGTGCTTGTTTTCCCTATCACATGTGACTTGGCTAGCAAGGATGAGAAGGTACAAGGCAAAAAAAGGGTTCTGGGGGGTGGGGACAGATTTACATAGAAAACCTCAGGCTTAAAGAGCCAAATCCAAACCGCAGTAAGGTCCACCTGCCCCACACTTTGGCCATCAGATAAATCCTAAGTAGGGATGGGGAGGAGCCAGAGTTTAATCAGTGGAGGGGTCTACCAATAGGTTCTGGATGGTTACAGTGTTGCCCGAATCCCACCTCTAGCAGAGAGACAGCTAACGCACCCAAATGCTCGGATTTTTTCCCCCCGCAAATGCTCTGATTCTCAACTGGGATTTCTCATTAGACCCTGAGAAGGCAAGGAAAGATGAGGAAGACATATCCTTTACACTTCCTCCCCGTATTAAACTACTCCTTAGCCAGAGGCAGTCTCCTTTATTTCTTTATTCTCTTCTGGTCCCCTGCTCAATCTCCTACCAATGACTGAAACAAAAAGACCCATAATATACTTCTAGCTCAAAAGGAGCAGACCCTCAACTCTCCCCTCTTAGCCTGGTTCACTGACAAGGACACAGCAAAGGGAGAATCTTTCTAATACAGGGCTGTGGCTCTCACAAGCATTACACAGAAATAATAAGCTGGGAAAGAGGTGGTTACAACCAAGCAAACGGAAGGATACGGGGACCTTCTGCTTATGAGGTGTTCGTTTTCTTCCTATCGCTGCACAGGGGTTTCTGAACTACGTCTATTTTCTGCCTGAGGGGCGGAGTCGGGGGTGGGGGTCCTCTTGGTTTCGCTCACTCACCGGGTTCTGAAAATAAGAGTGGCCAATATTTATGTTTTAAGTGTGGTGTTGTGTTACAGCCAATGTCAGCATATCACAGTGACAGCCAAAGTTAGTGATTTTTTGGCAATTTCATTTTTCCTCTGTTCACTTGGTTTCTGTTAAATACCAGGGAAAAACTCGCTGAAGCATGGGTTGCACTGTTTGGGGGTTGGCCTTTCAAGACTCTGCAGGTCTCCCGCGGGAACTCGTGTTGCGCCCAACTGGTTCCCCCACCCGTCCATCCCACCCACCTCTCCCTCCTGTGTCCCTCTTGTCCTTTGCGCACACCAGCCTCCTGGAGTCGGAAGACCCTTCCCAAAATGAGAAACAGTCACGTCTATGGTGGAATGAGCTAATTAAGAGTCCCGGGCAGAGAAGGAATTAGACTGAAATAGTCACTGAGATCCTCAGAAGGGATGGACTGTGGAAGGGGGAGGAGGACGGGAAGAAGCAGGCGCAGGTGGAAATACCTTTTCCAAGTATAAAGCAGCACTAAAACAGGTCTCTTGCCCTCAGAGTAGCCTCTTGCATTAACATTCATTCAGAAAGGAGATTCTGGTCCCAGGAGGACAAGTGGAACACCCCGGCAGAGGCTGACCGCAGCCCCGCCCCTTTTCACGTGCCTCCCCCAAGTGTGGGCTTTCCGTGCCAGCCCCCTGGAAGCGGATGCTTTTGCATAATAGGAAGCGTGCTCCTCTGGTGTCTGCCACCCCCCAGACACCCACGCACACTCATGCACACAAACTACGCACTAGCAGGCTCCTGTCAGAAGGCAGCTGCTGGTTCTTCTTGCTTGTAAGTTGAAGCCAAGTAAGAATCAGGTCGTTTTAGGTCTGGCTCTGGGTCTGCCTGAGGCTGCATCCCTAAGACAGGCTGGGTGTGCCCAGCTTAATCCAAATCGATGGATATGCATCGACACTGTTTGACTCGCGTGACCCTCTTCTTCTTGGTGGGCGGCTGCAGTTCGGGGCAGTTGAGCGTGACCATCATGGTGGTGAACTTCTTGGGCTTGCAGAAGGAGCAGGACTGGAAGGAGCCTTCCTCCTTCCGGATGTGCCTGGGGATGTAGAAGGAGTTGCACTGGCCGTAGCAGAAGCGGTTGATGATGGTACGGCTGTTGCAGCCCTCCTCGTGGATCGTCTGCTTCAGCGGCTGGGTTTTGCACCAGTCTCGCTTCAGGTATTTGCGCTCGGTCACGTGCAGGGCCTCCTGGCTGGACTCCAGCACCTCCTCCCCGGGCATGGCAGTGCCACGGCCTTGGCCACGCCCCCGATTCCTGGAGCCCGGTTGCTGGGGAGACTGAGTCTGCTCGGAGTCATTGTGCTGGGCCTTGTCTGGTGGAGGGATGGCACCTTGGGACCCCTTCTTCTTTCCTTCGGCGGTGGGCAGCAGGGTCCCCAAGAGGAGAAGCAGGGCTCCCACAGTGTAGGCGGTGCGGCTCATGCTAACAGAGGGAAGCACAGAGAGGGGAGACACAGAAGACAGACAAGTCAATTTGAAAATTAACAGCATTTAATGTTTTATCAGGCACTTCTTAGACCCTCTATGTAAGACATTTCATTTTCTTCTGACAATATCTCTATGAATCTGGTATTATTATTCTCATCCCCCACCTAGCAGTCAAGCCACCAAGTACCTTGCCCTGCCTCACCGGTGAATAAGGCAAGATGGCAGCTCAGCCAGGCCCTATCGCTTCATGGCATGTCCTCCCACCGCAGTTCCTTCCCTGCTGCTGACAGCAATCACTTCTGACGTTACCTTGTGGTCACTTAATGCATTCTTGTATTGGGCTGAATTACCTTTGTACCTCTCTAGGGAAACCCAATTTTCTGTTTAGTTTTACAGCAAGGCAAATCAACCTCACTGTCCAGGCTTCATCAGCCAGGAAAGGATCCCAGTCTCCTTTTCTCCCCAACTGGCGTGAGTGCTTCTTGAATTGTGTCTTGTGTGTTTGGTTGGATGCTTGGGAGATGTTCGCTGATAGCAGGCCTTACAAGGAGAACCCTGGCAGAGCCAGGCAAGCTGTGGAAGGAGGGAGATCACTTAGCAGGAGCAACACTGGATCCAAAGTCAAGACTGGGTTTCCAGTCCAGGTCTTGGGGCAACAACTTACCATCTGACCTTGAGAAAATCACTTTGCTTCTCGAGAAATGACTTCTTGTAAGCTCATCTCCCCAGACAGTTTGTTCACATCAAATTTGAGGTTCAAACAAAAGCAGTTTGAGAACTAACCAGATCTATGGCAGGATCTCAGACAGAATGAATTACCTTTCCAGAAAGATCACATTAACTCCTAAGACTCCTGGACTTCTCACTTGTTCTCATTTTTAAATGGGCATAGCTATTGATTATATCATTCATGATATCATGATATACAGTTTTCTACCTTTAAATGATGAAATATGTCATTTACATGTGCGTGTATCTGTGTGTGTGTTTCATCTAGGAGGTAGAAAATGGCATAAGAAAACAGGTATATGCAAATTAATTAATTATGGCATTAATAAATGCCATAGATATGTAGAATAAATTAATGATAGTGAATTATTGTGGATGGGCCTGGACTTAGACATAGGTCAGAAAGGGCAGTGAACAAGGGCAAAAAAATTAGAGAAGTGGGGGAAGGCAGAGGGAAAACTAATAAAACAAATAAGAAAGCAAGGATGGAGAGACAGAGAAGAAATGGACTATGGAATCTAAATCAGAGAAAGGAGGGCTCCTAGGGAGGCAGAGTGTTAAGAGAAGGTAGAGTGGACAGAGGAGAAAGAGGAGAAGCCAGAACATATTTTTTTAAGAGGGCAAGCATCACGCTATTGAGATTCTCTTGACACAGTGCCTCTCAACCTCAAGGAGCAGAGGATCGCCTGGTGGAGTTGTTAAAATGCAGATTCTAATTCAGTCAGTCTGCCTTTCTAACAAGCTTTGAGTAGCAAGGCCTGTAGCTCTGGCAACCTTGGGGCACAGAAAAGAGTTATTAAAATGTGGAAGGATTTTCTTTTCAAAGAGCGCAATTGCAAATTCACAGCTTTCCTCTAGGGCCATCTAACCAAATCTGACCTACATCTTGAGGCTTCCCCCATTCCCCAGCCCCCGTGCCCACCATGGTTCTGAACCTAAGGGCAGATCTGTGAGTACCCATTTCCCTGTTCTCTTTTATAGACCAGCATTACATATAATAATAAATGCAATTTAATAGTAACCTTATCACGTCCCCCCAAAGAGCTATACGAGTTCGTATGATTAGCTAAAGCAATCACCTTTCAAAGACAAAGGCCTTGCGGAATCTACATTCTCTAAGCAACAGTCCCTGTAAGTAAAGACCATGCAACCCTAAGGTTAATGTCGAATTAAGATAACTTAATATTAAATTTAAAAGATCCTTAAATGGCGCCATTTTTCTAACATTAACCTAATACTCTGGGGCAAGTTCAAGTTTGGAACTGATAATGTGACATTTAGCTCCTGTTCTTTCGACTGTAGACTCCCTGGCTTTTGTCAGTTTATGTTACAACATCCCTGTTCTTTAAACAGAGCCTTTTTTGCCTCAACAACAAAAAAATTAATTTCCTTGTTTTGTCTTTAAAAATCACTCATGAGAAAAATCCAGTTATAAGACAGTGCTGATTTTCTCCAGAGACCGGGATAACTTGAGCCATGACAGTTCAGTCTCCTAAGCAAATATATTGTGAATTTGAGAAGCTTTAACAAATTTCTTCTATTTGTTTAATTGGGGAGCAGGACCTAAACTAAAATTCAGTCTCTGCCCATTTCAAAGAGGAGCACATGAGACAGCCCTAGGCTTACACCCACAGTCTTCCCTCATCCCTACTGAAAATGGCCCCAAGGACAATTCAGCCCTCCCAGAGCAAGACCCTCAGAGCCCAACATTACAGAGACCGATCTGAAACTGACTGGGGATATATATTGCATGTGACAGTTCACGTCATAAAGCCATCCCCTCCCACACACATCTGCCCAAAAAATGCAATTTCCTTTCTCCAGACCAACATAGGACTCTTTTTATGCTCGACTTTTCCTTCCTGGCATTTTCACATCTGTCATTAAATAAATATCTAGTCCGAAGGTCGTGAGGACTTAGACATTGCCTTATCCTCAGCGCCTGGCTCAGAGTAGGTGCTCTTTTGTTAAATGAGTGCTTGTTATGGCCCACGTTGATTTACAGAGTCTCCGTTTTCATTTTAAGATGCTTCATGTGTGCCGATGAGCAGCCGAGCCTAACACAATATTTTTGATTTCGGAGAATCAAACTCCTTCTAGCCTAGAAGTATCTTAATATTTGTCTTTCTTTTTCTAGGAAAACTTCAGATAGACACTACTTTTCACCTGGTCCCATGCAGAATGCTGTGGGTTTCATTTTCCAATTGAAGCCACTGTATTCCCTGTGGCAGAAACCAACAATAAAGCAAGCAGTAAATTCACAATTAGTCAACAGTGGTTTTCAGTTTTAATTTAGACAGACTTCCTGTTCCTATGGGAGCTTTCGAACTCTGTAAGCCAAAGGGGTCTAGAATGACAGACTGTTTTCTTGTTTGGGGGGTTTTTAAAGAAAAGTAAATTTTTCTCAAAATAAGATTTATTAGGTGTGGAAAATGTTATAAAATGGTTTCTCATGTCTTAAAAAAGGCAACTTTTTAAGATCTTTAGTGCTTACTGTGAGGCTTTTGACTCTTTAAAACTTAAAACTAGCTATTTGGAGAAAAATAAAAACCAACTTCAGGAATCTCAATCAACACAGACCTCAGCTTAAAGAACAGTGGTTCTCTGAAGGACTCTGCACATTCCTCATGAGTAAGAGTTAGAAGCTTGAGAATTCTAGTAGTGCTAGAACCAGGGCTCTGTCAAGTCATTGTGGTCAATCACCCAACCTCCCCCCACACACACCACAGACTGGTCATGATTACTCAGTGAAGAAAAAGGGACTGTTTTGCTCTTGAAATCCCAATTGTATCGCCACCAAATAATCCGCACTTTGTAAATATCACAAGCATGCAGGAAATCATGAAGTTGTAAATTTCTCGAAAACAGTTCTTTTCCATATCAACACCTCGCAGAAAACCCCATTATCAAAAATCAGTCTAAATCTTAATCAAACCTCATGTTCCTATGAATTATCCCTCATGCCCAAGCATGAGCTGCAAACATTTTTGGTAATTTGCATCCATGAAATGACCCACTGACATCATTGAAGTTGAGCTGCAGTTTGTGGGTCCAGAGTGCATCATGACACCCACAAAGACCTCCCTTTATACTTGTTGCAGACAACATTCTTCTTTTCAAACCCTGCCTCAACTTCTCCTTAATGCATTTCTGTTTTCTCCACGTAATGTGATTTTTCGTGGCAAGTATTTTCGGCAACTGCTCTCCATCAGCAAGACCTGCCTACCCTTACCGTTTTTTTCCCTTTACTACTGGTCCTCCCCTCCAATCCACTTGTGCCTGAGCACATAGATACTCTCAAGGCAGTTCTTCTCTACCTGATGCTTTTCTTCAGGTTTCCCTTAGTGATCAAGAGAAAACATCCGCATGCAGGATAAGCCAGATCAGCCACCTCTGTCCGGTGTAGGTCATGGTGATTTAGTCCAATCTTCATAAGGCTCTAAGAACACAATCGTCTAACTCTAAGGAATCAGAAATAAAAATGCTGTGTGTGACCTGTATCCAATATTTTCAATGTCTTTGGGAACGTTTAGGCCAACTCCTTGGGGCACCCTTCTTACCGTATTTCTCATTTTAGCTAATCAACCTGCTTATAATCAGTTAAATGGAGTGCTGAGTGGGAATTACAGGGAATTGACAATGGGTCAGCAAGCCAGATGTCTATGCCTGAACATCTGATCCACTCCTCCTGATGAATTAAGTTTTAGAAAGACGCTCAACAGGCATGACATCAAATTATTCTCCCAGTAGAAGAAAATAATTAAAGTGACAGCAAATGCTCTAAATGCAGGCCAGATTTTAGAATAATCTCTTCCTTTTTCTCAGAACTAAATCTTTGAGAAGGGAAAGGTTATTTTTAACTTGATCTTGAATTTTTAAAAAGATAGCTTTTAGAAGTTAAGTAGAGAATTTCGTAAGAATACACTGGGTCAATTTTTTTTTTCCCAGACAAATCGAAAAAAGAAGATAGAAGAATTACTTGCTGGCAAACTAGTAGAGGATAAAGTCTCATCCTGTATGAGTCGCAAGACCCTAACTACAACCTCCCTATTTAGAAGACCATTCAAGCTAAATCAGGTTGGCCACCCACAACACACAGGACAGAAAGGAAACTTCCAGGTGGTTAAGTATCTCAACAGGTCTATGCCCACGGGAAGATTTTTTGCTGAAATGAATGATTGTATGCAATTTTTGAGGTCAACAGGAAACAAGTTAGAAAGTAATAAATATTCACTGAGCAGCACTATTGAGAGTTAATCTATAGGTTCTGTTTTGGGATGCAAGACGGGTGGTAGTCCTTATATGCATGGAATTCAGGACTTAATTTCAGAAACAACTTATAATATATCTGGTGCCATATCATGTTACTGCCTCTTCCAATACCATCGCTGATAATTAGAATTATCTCTATATTTGAACCCTGAGCATGTATGCTAAGCATTGTGCATAAATCAGACCGTATTTTATCGAGAGAACATGAGGTAGATAATATTGTCTTCCCTTTATCAAGCAGGGAATCCAGAGTCAGAAAAGTTAGGAATCTGCCCAAAGTCAAACAGCTCCTCAGTTGGAGAGTCAGGGCTGGAGACCCATTCTACCGAGCCACCAAACGTGTCTTTAATCACTGTTCTGTGGACACCTGGCACAGTTCTTAACAAGGGGCACATGAACTTGTTTTTAATACAATACAGTTTGAAGAATATTGTAAGTCAAGTAATTATCTAGTTTGTATCTTCATGTTCACATGTGAAGAAAAAACTTCTGTTGTCCCAGGAATTATTGTTGTGCTTTGCATTTCTAAGAGCATATGTTAAAACTAAAGAAAATTCCTTGCAGATGTAAGGCATGGGCTGGTAACACTTGTGATCCGTGCCTTTCAGTTGGATGCCACAGTTACCTCCCCTAACCGCCCCCCCCACCACTTTTGGTTACATAAAAGGGTTAGGTTTTCCCATCAGTCCTTAACTCTCTATTCTAGACATGCTCCAAGCTTCATTGTTGACAAGCATTTCTTCGGAAAGGGGTCTGTGGCATAAAACTTCTTGGCCTTATTTTGCTTGTGATACTTGAACATTAAGAGCAAGACAGAGGCTTCAGTTTAGAAGACAAGGCAGGCAGCTCTGGTTCAAAGATGTGAGGACTCAGTAGGTTTCTACT